AGAGTGCTGTATGAATGGGTAAATGAGGCACAGATTGTTGTAAAGAGCTTTGAGTGTCTTGATTAGATAGAAAGTCACTGTATAAGTACAATCCATTTATACCATTTGCTGTGCTCAAGCACACTGTCAAATGTTGAAATAGTTTTTTTTGAATTCACAGATACTATGCCCTCTGTACTCAAGAGGAGAGGTATGGGTGTGCATTAGTGCCTCAGCATACACATCAAGAAAGGCTCCATCAACTTCAAAAAGTAGATACAAATTTTAGAACATGTTTCTGTCCAGACAACATATTTCAGAGTCCAGGTGCTAAACCGATGTGCCTGCAGTCCAGACCTCTCAACAAAATGCATTTGCTGAATTCTCCATCACACCAGAATGGACTTTACCTCTCAAAACTCCAATCACTGACCACCTCGTTCCCTGAACATTTACAGACTTATTTGAAAAGATGAGTGGATGCTTCACAGAACAAACTAGAACCTGGAAACACTTTTTTTTAGAAGTGGTGCTGTCATCAATTTCAAAATTACTTTATTTTTCTAAAAAAACAAACAAACAATTTCTTCATATAATCTTTTGAGTTATATACAAAGTTCCACTGTGAAAAAAAATGAGTTTGTGAAAATTGCAAATCGTTGCATTCCCCTTTAATATTTACCTTTTACCAAACATTCCAACTTTTTGTGAAACAGATTTAGGCATTCTGGGCTGTGGCTTTCTGAAGGGAACTCTATTCAGGATGCAGTACAGGTCCTGGTCTCAGTTGTGCGATTGATCCAATCTCAGGTGTTTGTTCAGGTCCAAGTGTGACTGACATGATCTTTCTGGTTTCTGGTGGTTCCAGACAAGCCTCAGGAGGAGAAGAAGGACACATTTGTGGAGAAACTGGCTACTCAAGTGATCAAAAACCTGCAGGTGAAGATCAGCAGCATCCACCTGCGTTACGAGGATGATGTGAGTATTAATTCAGGTTTAAATCCTAAGTCTAGTTCACAATGATGTAGGACAGGAGGTGTCATAATTCATCCATCTGTCCATCCATCCATCCATCCATCCATCCATCCATCCATCCATCCATCCATCATCTTTACCTGCTTCTTCCTTTTTGAGTCACGGGGGTCACTGGTGTCCATATCCAGCAGTCACTGTGTGAGAGGCAGTGGATACCCTGGACAGGTCTCAGTCCATCACAGGGACACCTGGACAGGTCTCAGTCCATCACAGGACACATAGAGACAAAGGAGACAAACAACCATTCACACTCTCACTCACATCTAGGGACCATTTAGAGTTACCAATCAGTCTAACATACATGTTTTTGGTCTGTGGGAGGAAACCGGAGAAGTCTGAAACCCACGCATGCACGGAGGGAACATGCAAACTCCACCCACAAAGGCCCCCGGCCAGGATTCAATCCGGCAACATTCTCGCTGAGAGGCAGCAGCTCTACGAACTGAGCTACTGTGTCACAGTTCATTTTAATTCATTTCCTTTATTTATATAGTGCCAGTTCACACAGACATTATTTCACTGTACAAAAACGTTCACATACATTGTAAAATGCCAATCAGTAAAAGTTATCCACCTGTGGAAACCAGCAGATTGTGATGAATCATGAAAAACCCTCCAGCAGAACTAGGCTCGATAGGCGGCCATCTTTACCAAATGGCTGGTTTTAGAAATGACAGGAAAGAGACAGACAAACACAGAATTGCTCGTCCAGGTGTAGTTTCTTTGGAGAAAAAAAACAGAAAAATGCATGTTATTGATAGAAATTATTTCAAATGCAAACATGGAAAGTAGAGCAAGTAAGGACAGCAGGTGAGTGAGAAAATGCTTGTCCTCTAGCAATCTATGCCTGTAGCAGCAAAACTAAGAGGTAGCTTAGAAAACTCAAGTCAACCGTAACTATAGGATTTATTAAAATGTAAAGTCTTCAATCTAGTCTTAAAAGTAGACAAGGTGACAGCCCCACAGACAGAAACTGGAAGTTGGTTCCTCAAGAGAGGAGCCTGATAAATGAAAGCTTTGCCTCTCATTCTACTTTCAGAAACTCTAGGAACCACAAGTAAACCTGCAATCAGCAGCAAAATGCTCTGTTTGAAAAATAAATGGAAACTTTGGATGTTTAAAATAAGATAGAGCTTGGTTGTTGAGAGCTTTTTAGAAGTAATATGTTTAAATTATTTTAAGAATTTGATCGGTTTCATGGATAAATATATAACTGAGGTACCATCAGCATGACATGAACACAGAGGAACTCCATAAATAATTCAGGAGTATGAAGAATATTCATTATTAACATGAACAAACTGGAGTCTATCAGATAAATATGATTTAAATCATTTAGATATGTTCCTGTAATGAAAAAAAAATCACATTTACACCTCTGTAATAAAATCCCAGGACATCTTTGCAAAAGAGATTGATAATCTCAATGGATTTCTTTCCTGGTAAAATAAAAGTTAAAATAAACAAAAATAAATACTGTGATCACTTGTATCAAATACAGCACTGACAAGTATAGACACAAGTCCACTGTCTAACAGGACAAGTATGGACA